AGTGTTAGCTTAAAAGAACATTAATGAATTGCAGAAACGTGTATTAGTCTGTTCGGGAGGAGCTGCATCTATACTAGACTCTATTTTATTTTAACACGTTGGCAGATTATTGTCAAATAAAGAAAGTAAACATGTTGGCAGATTAATGTCAAATAAAGAAAGTAAATGGTAAATTTTCTTTGAATGAAGTAAATTAGATCAGTAAATTTTTGTACATACACATATATATACATATACATACACATATATACACATATATACATATATACACAGATGTATAAATATATATAGATATATACCAAATGACCTATGGACTAGTGCTGGTCCACGAACCGGGGGTTGGGGACCCCTGATCTATACAGTCTTCCATTTAAAACCGTCCCTTCAACAGGAACTGTATTGCTGATGTGGCCCTCGGTGAAAATGAGTTTGACAGCCCTGCTGTAGACACTGTACATTAATTTTAAGACAAACCTTTCACAAACTGCCCGTTTTACTCGTTAATGAACCTGTGAATGTCTATAAAAAACACGAGACACGCGATGAACAACAAAGGTTATACACAGGATAACCCCTTGGGAGCGCTGTTTTATTTTTTACCCACACAGTAGCGAGGTTGCCTTACCGGAAATAACGTGAATGTTTACCCGCTCGTGGTCGAAGCAACGATGGCAAGCTCAGGAGCTAAACAACCATCTAAAATGAATTCCAAATCCTCCGGGCCCGCGGCCGCTGGAGTAAACAACGGGACTCCGGTAATGCCCCTGGCCTCTCCGCTTATGGGTAAAAAGAAGAAACCCTTTCTGGGTATGCCGGCTCCGCTTGGCTACGTCCCCGGTCTGGGTAGAGGGTAAGCTAGCTTAGCTAATATGTCAATAGCTGTTTATGTTGACCTGCAAATCCACATTGCGCACTTAAAAAACAAACAAAAACAAACCTTTTGATGCAATTGAAGCAAATTAGAATTGTAGGTTCATCAAATATCAGGGTTTTACGTTTTTATTTTGCGTGTGAAAAGGAAAGTGCAAGTGGTAAAACTGAGTAAGAGCACCAGATCAATGCTTACACATCGTGAAGCAGCTTGTGTCTTGTGTTGGAGATTTAATTGCATGTTTTTCTCTTTAGTGCTACTGGTTTTACCACCCGGTCTGATATTGGTCCTGCTCGTGATGCCAATGATCCCGTGGATGACCGCCATGCACCCCCGGGAAAGAGGACTGTTGGGGATCAGATGAAAAAGAACCAGGATGACGATGATGAAGATCTGAATGACACCAATTATGATGAGGTGCTTGGTTGTCTCGTCAATAATCTGTGATGATATTATGTCGGAGCAGCAGTAGTGTTTTAACCGTCCTTCTTTTTTATATATATATATATATTCATAGTTTAATGGATACGCGGGCAGCTTGTTTTCCAGTGGTCCCTATGAAAAGGACGATGAAGAAGCCGATGCCATATATGCAGCACTGGACAAGAGGATGGATGAAAGGCGCAAAGAAAGAAGGTTTTTGAAATAAAATGCGTACGCTGTTTATATTTTTTGCGTTGATCATCCAATTTTAAAGCTGTGCTTTTATTTCCAAAGGGAGCTGAGAGAAAAGGAAGAAATTGAAAAGTATCGTATGGAGCGTCCCAAAATACAGCAGCAGTTTTCAGATCTTAAGGTATTGAAATGCTAAGGTAGTATTTAATTTTCATTTTGTTGTAGAGTTTAAAGTGAATGAATAGTTTGACATTAATATCTATAATAAGACACATGACTATTTCACTTAAAATCACTTAAATCGGATAAGATTTCTTAAGAATGTGCACGAAGAGCTGAGGTGATTTAAACCTGAAATTATTTAGATAGTTTAATTCAAACTGATCCAATTTTTACATGTTTTTTTTTTCTAATTAAAATTAACATTTTTTTTTGTACATTTCCTGTCAAAGAGAAAGTTGGGAGAAGTGTCAGAAGAGGAGTGGCTAAGCATCCCCGAGGTGGGCGATGGAAGAAACAAGCGTCAGAGAAATCCTCGCTATGAGAAACTCACCCCTGTCCCGGACAGCTTTTTCTCCAAACACCTGCAGAGTGGGGAAAATAAAACCTCGGTGAACCCTCTCGAAGGGGTAAGTATGCATGCGTAACAAACATGAACGCAACTGACTGTGTTTTTTTTTTTTTTTTAAATATATTTAGGAAGATTACAAAGTTACTTTAAGATCATTTGTGCTGTTGTTTACTAAGATGGCTTTTTTCTTTCTGTAGCTGGCAGGTCTGAACACACCTTACCCAGGAAGTATGACCCCCGGTCTGATGACACCAGGGACAGGTGAACTGGACATGAGAAAAATCGGCCAGGCCAGGAACACGCTCATGGATATGCGGCTCAGCCAGGTAAGTGATGCAGTATTTAATGTGCATTTGTTACGTCAACTCCTCACAGGAATCAGGTGGTGTAATTATATTTACATCCCAGGATGAGAGCTCCTGCTTAATGCATATAATAGAAAGCCTGGTTTAATTTTCTCTCTTCATTGATCGTCTTGACTTTAGGTTTCTGATTCTGTGAGCGGCCAGACGGTGGTTGATCCGAAAGGATACTTGACAGATCTTAACTCCATGATCCCAACATATGGAGGGGACATCAGGTAAACATAGGATACACATATGTGTGTGTGTGTGTATATATAAATGTATGCATATATATAGATATGTGTGTATATATATGTGTATGTATATATGTATGTATATATATATCGCAATATATCCTATCGTTTCCCCTGTATCGTGATATGTATCGAATCGCCAAATTGTTGCCAATACACACACACATATATATGTATATATGTATATATGTATGTATATATAAGTGTATATATGTATATATGTCGGTATGTGTATATGTGTATGTATATATGTATGTGTATATGTGTATGTATATGTATATATGTGTATGTGTATATATGTCTATGTATATGTATGTATATATGTATGTATATATGTATGTGTATATATGTATGTATATGTATGTATATATGTATGTATATGTATATACGGTATGTGTATATGTGTATGTATGTGTATATGTGTATGTATGTGTATGTATATGTATATATGCGTATGTATATGTATGTATGTGTATATATGTATGTGTATATATTTATATATATATTAAAAAAAAATTTTATTCTGTATCTAGTGATATCAAAAAGGCTCGTCTTCTGCTGAAATCAGTGAGGGAGACAAATCCTCATCATCCCCCTGCCTGGATTGCATCGGCCAGGTTGGAGGAAGTGACCGGCAAGCTCCAGGTGGCAAGAAACCTGATAATGAAAGGGACTGAAATGTGTCCAAAGGTAGAAAAAGAGAACTGCTAAAATGATAAACATTTGCATTTTTTTTTTTTTTGCCTTTTTTGACAAAATAACCTGCTGTCATTGTCTTCCTGTAAACACCAGAGTGAGGACGTGTGGCTGGGGGCCGCCAGACTACAACCTGGGGACCCCACCAAAGTACGCTAAGGAAAGGTGAGCTCAGAATCATTCTGATGGTTTTAGACTTTTTATGTATTGTCCATATTTTATATTTTGGGAAAATAAGCTGAATGAAATGAAATGAAATTCTTTTACACTGCATACACGATTTATTTACGATTCAACTAGACCAGATGTGTCAAACTCAAGGCCCGGGGGGCTAAATGCGGCCCGCCAAGCCGTTTTGTGTGGCCCGCGGGAGCTTAAAAAGCATTTAGTAAAGTCCATGCAGCAGAGTTTATTAACCTAAGAAATGAAAAGTTTTTATAATCAATCAAAATAATAATCATTCAATTTTCAAAATGAAACATCTTTTAGACTGTTAGTATAAGAGTCTGAATGACTCGTTATTTTAAAATTAGATTTTCTTTTGCAGAAGAAAGAAAGTAAATGGATATTACTGGACTTTCTTTCAAAGAAGTAAATTAGTAAAAAATTAAGTGTTTTTTTTTAATGTCTCACTGCGGCCCGGTATCAAATGACCTATGGACTGGTACGCAGACCGGGGGTTGGGAACCCCTTCAAGGCCCTTCAAGGGGAACTGTATTGCTGATGTGGCCCCTGGTGAAAATGAGTTTGACACCCCTGAACTAGACCAATGTCATTGGGTTTTTTTTTTACTGTTTTTAATGTTCTTTTTATACCATGCAGATATAGTATTTCATAAAATATAGATATATATTTTAACTATTGAATAGCTGAATTGACCTTGACAGATGTTTGCCTGGTCTGTTTCCTTGGTTGCCTCTGTACACTACATACGTTGCACATGCTACACTTTCATTTAGCATCTTTTCGTTAGCAATTTTTTAAAATGGTACTTGGTAAATTTGAATTCCCTTCTCGTGCAGCCCTGGAAAATGTGTCCAAGTCTGTTCGGCTTTGGAAGACTGCTGTCGAGCTCGAAGAACCCGAGGATGCCAGGATCATGCTCAGTCGCGCGGTGGAGTGTTGTCCTACAAGTGTGGAGGTACCCACCGTTTCCCACGACCATCGGAAATGTCATAAATCTAGGCTGCAGTTCAGCATTATACTTATAACATAAAAATGTAACATACCAAAGATTTTGACTGTATAACCTTAAACTTCAGGTATATATATATATTATATCCAATTAATCCCACGCTTTCTCCTTCTCCTCTGGAGCTCTGGCTGGCGCTGGCCCGATTAGAGACGTACGAGAATGCTCGTCGCGTCCTCAACAAAGCTCGAGAGAACATCCCCACCGATCGGCACATCTGGATAACCGCTGCCAAGTTGGAGGAAGCCAACGGTAACACACAGATGGTGGACAAGATCATAGACAGAGCCATCGCGTCTTTAAACGCCAACGGTGTGGAGATCAACAGAGAGCAGTGGATACAGGTGTGTTACCAGGAGTCAGTCAGATTATTGTAAGAATTTGCCATGTAGTGACTGCGGGCAATGTTGCAGTATTGTCCGGGGAGTTAGTTACACTTAGAAAATCGCAAAGTCTCGACTCCATAACACACTGTAACACAAGGACAGGAAAAAAAAATGTACTTCCGAAACAATGGCTTGTTTTAGTCATACCAAATAACATCTACTTTTTTCTTCTTCTTCTTCTACAGGACGCCGAGGAGTGTGACAAAGCAGGCAGTGTCGCTACATGCCAGGCTGTGATCCGGGCTGTCTTAGGAATTGGTATTGAGGAGGAGGATCGGAAACACACCTGGATGGAGGATGCAGAAAGTGTGAGTAGTTTCCTCCTGCAATGACCACTGTCCTTACGTAGTATCCACACTACAGTACTTCCTTTTCACTGAAGGGTACCTTCATTTTGGGTAACATATTTAAAAAAATACTTATCATTCATGTCAACATGTATGTTAGGGATGTGAGAAATGATCGATACAACTATATATTGCGTTGTCTTGTTTCACGATACCATATCAGTCGCGAGAGCCAGACCGCATCTGACTCTCAGATAAATCTTAGCTGGCATCTCTTAACACAATAAGTAATAAATAATTTCACTCATATTCAAGTAAAACATTACTGAAATCACAAATATTTTTTCAAATAATCCTTAAAAAAAGTATGTAGATTTGCGGCGGCAGTGTACGTTGCGTTAAGTAATTGCAAAAAAATCATGGATAGTATAACAACGTAATTATTATTTTTTTTTAAATAACTTTAATATTTCAGGAAATTATTAAACACTTAAACACAAAAATTCACGCATCTATTTGTATTCAGAGCGCAAAAAAAAATTGTATTGCTCTCGCGGAAATACATTTTAAAATATGTGGCTCTCGCTGCTAAAAAGGTTGTCTACAGGATTATTTTGTCTTTTTAATTTAGTTAATTATTAATTAACATGCGAATATCAGTCCCATTGGTTCGTTTTATTTTGTTTTTTTTCTTCTGTAACATCGTATTGCATTGTATGTTGACTCTGCTTTTCCTTCAATTAAATCCTTTCATACCTATATTACAATATATTGCATCATCGCCCCCTTCATCACAGTTTTGTGTTGTTTAAAAACCATCGCATTGCATCCCAGTTAAAGGCTGCTCCCTCGATGTGTTTCAGTGTGTGGCCCACGGAGCCTTTGAGTGTGCCAGAGCCATTTACGCACACGCTCTCCAAATGTTTCCCAGCAAAAAAAGCGTTTGGCTCAGAGCTGCGTATTTTGAGAAGAGCCACGGCACCAGGTATTTCTTCATTTCTGCTTTTATTTACATATTTATAGTCTCTCTCTTTTTTTTTTTTTTCCTACTGACCTTGTTTGACCATGTTTCAGGGAGTCTTTAGAGGCCCTCCTCCAGAGAGCCGTGGCCCACTGTCCCAAAGCAGAGGTTCTGTGGCTGATGGGGGCCAAGTCCAAGTGGCAGGCTGAAGATGTGCCAGCAGCCAGAAGTATTCTCGCTCTGGCCTTTCAGGTAGAAATATCACGGGAAAATGTCTTCTTTTTTTGTATTCTCTATTGCAATCCACGTTCCAATTCCAACATCTTCCCTCTTTTTTTTTAGGCAAATCCCAACAGTGAAGAGATCTGGCTTGCTGCTGTAAAACTCGAGTCTGAGAATAATGAGTATGAAAGAGCCCGTCGACTTCTGGCGAAGGCCAGGAGCAGTGCCCCGACAGCCAGGGTAAGTGTCGAATTGCGGAAATGTGTCTTTTTTGGTCGCAATGTCATTTATATGATCTATATCTGCAGTTGAATTAGTAAGAGATTTTTATTGGATTTTCAAATA